TCCATCTGCAGAACCAAGAGCTGGGTGTGTTCTACTGGCAGCATTCGCTTAGCACCCTCCCCCCCCCCCCCCGAGTCCTCAGAGGTCTGCTGCTTAGCTGCTCAGTGGTTGTGGGCGATGAACTTGCCAGAGTGATTGTGAGGTTCATCGTGTTGGCACCCGCAGTGAGCACATCTACCTGATGTTCTGCAGCCCGCACACAAGCGAACTGCAAGGAAGGCAGTTCTCATGTAGTTTTATTTATGTGCGCGTATGAATGTATGATTTAATTATGTGTATTTAACTCTTTAAAATCTCCTAGATTTTAATTTATCCTGTAAATTTCTGTATATATAATTTAATAACAAAAGCCTCCACCAGCAGCAGCATGTGGAAGATACAGATTTGTCATTTTTGTTCCTTCTTCCTCCATCTGGTTTCCTCTGAAAACCCCAAATCATCTACATTTTAAGGTATTGTGCATCAAAAAGGAATCATTATGTTGAGATTCTCATTCTTTAAAAAGAACTTCATAGCCTTCAATAATGTCAAAAAGTTAAATAAAAAGGAATGTTGCCATTCCCCGTGCCCTTATTTCCAAAGGACCAGACTTTTGCTTCCCAGTTGTGTACAAGACAGTTGGGCATTTCAGGGTGGTTTGAAATTTGGTGTGAGATTCCCTGCCAACCGAGGTTTCTTCCGTAAGCCCAGAGAAACCATAGCATCAAAGTAAAGACTTTGAGGACAGTGCAATTGTCCTGTTTTACTCCTTCCCTTCTCCCCACCAGTGTGGTCACAGGGCTGGGTTTCTTAAAAGTATTTTGGCTGCTGAAATGCCTTTCTTAGCTCAGAGCAGTTTTGAGATTTAATCGGGGAGACAGAAGGAAATGGGAATGTTCGGGAACCAAAATCAAGAAGAGCAGAAATCTTGGTTTGATTCTACATGTTAGAATACCTTGCCTCCTCTGTTCCCCGTGGAAGTTTCCTGTTTGACACAGGGTATCAAGGAGGGGCCTTGAAGACATGGACTCAACCATTGTCACTTGTATCCATTAATGAAATCCTGATGAGGACCTGCTTTTTGTTGTTTTCCTTTGAAATCCAACCCTATTGTATTTGTATTTAAAGTTTGTACACATTTGTATGATAATCTGTACCTTGTGGTATTTGGTACTACTCGAGGAAAAACTTTGGATTCAGACCTTGCAGTTTTTATATCATTGTTTTGTTTTGTTTTTTAAATAAATCCTAGCGGTTTGGTCCAAATCCCATTACAGTTGTATAAAGAAATAAAATTTTGTACTTATATTATTAAAAATCACATTTTTAATATTTGTAGTCCAGTCTCAGGTATCTTTTCCCTGCTGTTAACTAAAGTTGCTATGAAGTGATAAAATCTCTATTTTACCATCTTCTCTTAAGGAAAATATATCAGTCTGGAATCAAGGTCAAGTTTCTAATCTTAGCCATTTTCCTGACATATGTCTTACTCTTTCTATTAACTTTTACATTATGGAGATTTTTGTGTTCTCTCCTTTGCAAGCTGCAAACCCAAACCCAGTGACTCTGATAACAAAATGACTATTCATTGGCAAATGAAATTGTATGTACATTAAAGTTTTAGCCTAACTCAAGAATATACCAGTCTTGTAAAAGGGTAGCATGTACTAAAATGTATTCATATTTTTTCAGTACTCTTAGTTGTGTTGGATAAGTCAGTTATCACCTCCATGTTTCCAAGCCTATAGCCTGCAAATTTGACATGAATGTTTAGTATATTGTGAACATTAACTATATGGAGTTTTGGCTTTCCAGTTAAAAATGTCAGTGCCAACACAAGGTGTTAGTAGTCATAAGTAGTGAAATATTATGAGTGGTAAAAGGTTAATATGAAGAGGCAGCCAGCAAGAGACCACTCTTATCATTGACTGACTACTTACTAGTTAAATAACAAAAGTTGCTACGAAGTTATAAAATCTGTATTTTACCATTTTTCCCTAAGAGTGATGTGCTTGTTTTGTCTCAATCCTCTCTGAAGTCTTAAGCGTTATCCCTTTACAAATGAGGAAATGTAGATGCAGAAAGTACTGCTCTACGTTTTTACAGCGAGAAGATGGCAAAACCATAGTGAACACAGGTACAGTTCAGTGCCGCAGTCACTTCCAAGTTGAATCATGTATAATTCATCAGACTCCTTCATCATCTACCATATTGAGCAAATGTGCTTGTTGGAAAACTATCTGAGCTTTTTTCACTGTTCACATGTCCTTTTGTCCTAACAGGCCTCGTTTTTCTTGACATACTATCGTCTTTAAACTTCAGAGGCATGTACTTTGGGTCTTGCCTGAAAGTGCTTAAGGACATAATAGATTACATTTATGCAACTTGTCAGTATTATAGGACTTAGAAGCTTTAGCAATATTAATATTGCTAAAATACTTAAGAGGAAAAATTAAGAACAGATTTTTCTTAATTGTTTTCTCCTTATTAGCACACACTTTTTTTTTTTTTAAAGATTTATTTATGCTTACAAGAACTGGGGTACATGCCACAGGTGGGGGTGTGTGTGAGAGGATTCACCAGAGACAGAGTGGGGAACAGAACAGACAGATTGACTGAAATACACTGCTGAGGGGAGCAGTGGTGGAGGCAGGAGAGGTCTGCTGCACCATGTGGGTAGCTCCCTGGCTGGGGATCAAACTCATGCTGTGCTGCAGTGGCTGCCCTTAGCCTCATAGGTTGCATCTTAACCCCTTGCGCCACCAGGGAGGCCCTAGCACAAGTTTTTTTTTGGTTTTTTTTTTTAAGATTTTATTTTTATTTATTTATACAAGCACTGGGTACAGTCAAAAGCACGGGAGGGTGAGAGAATTCACCAGAGCCAGAGCGGGGAGCAGAGCAGGCAAACTGAAGTACACTGCTGAGGGGAGCAGCAGGCGGCAGGAGAGGTCTGCCCACCATGTGGGACCCTCCGGTGGCCCTGGAGCAGTCGGGGATTGAACCGGCGCTGCGGGCAGCTTCGCAACCCAGCGCTCAACCGCTGCGCCACCGGGGTGGCCCCCCCAGCACACACTTTTAAAGCCTAGTTTTAATCAGTTTCGTAGTATGCTTGATATTTGTCATTTACATTCTTCTTTAAGATTATTTATTTATACAAGCAGTGGGTAGTCAGAAGTGTGGGAGGGTGAGAGAATTCACCAGAGCCAGAGTGGAGCAGAACAGGCAGAGTGACGAAGACACTGCTGAGGGGAGCAGCAGGAGAGGCAGGAGAGGTCTGCCGCGCTATGTGGGACCCTCGCCAGCGGCTGGGGATCAAACCCCGCTGCAGAGGCTGCGGGCAGCCTTGCAGCCCAGCGCTCATCCACTGCACCACCAGGGGAGGCCCTGTCGTTTACATTCTTATCCTGTTGACAAAATCCACACTTCCATTTCTGATTTAATACTCTGCATGGAGTTACTGTGACTCCACATCCAGTTTGGGGACACATGCGTTATTTCTGCTTTTGTATCATGAATGACAAAACTTAAGGCAGTTTTATTCTTGGAAAACCAAGATCTGCCCATAATGACTTTAACCAAGTAAAGTAAGAAGGCAGGAACTTATTCCCACCAACATGGGGATGTTAAAAGTTGTTAATGGAGGAATTCAAAGGAAGTGCATGCTAAGTTACACCCCACACGACCCAGCAATGTGTTTAGATGAAGACAGACAGAAGGTTATCTGACTTGAAGTTCATCTTCAATGATCATGGCCCTTACAGTCCAAATAACACTGAAAGAACACTTTCAATGTCATGCTCCTTATTTCTAGACAAAGCATGGACATGGTATCCCGGCCTTCATGAGGCATCAATACTAGTGGGGCGGAAAGCACTAACAAGTCTTGAGCATTATTAAAACACGTCAAACCGCAAGGATATATAACTTCCGTAAAGTCTTTATATTCTACAATAAAGATATCAGGCCCAGTGGTTGCTCAGATGGGTTAAACGTGATTAAGTACTAAATTTGGTTTTACACTATCCAAAAATTTGTTTAGTCAATACTGACCTTTCAGATTTAAGGATCACGAACACGACGCCTAAACAAACACTAAAGCGCCCTGGAGTGGCTAGAACTACAGCAGCACTGGTCACTGTGTCTCCCGGCGTGGGTGTGAGAAGAGAAAACCCATCTCGTGCGGGTCACATCCGAAAAGGCGCCCAGGGAGGTGCTGGAAGGAGATGCTGCAGTTGCAAAGCTGGGGAGGGCCTCTGAGATCCTTAACCTGCAGCGCCCTGCTGGACTTGGAGGACCCCACAAACTCGGAGGTTAAAACGTATCTCTGCCTTTTTTTTTTTTCTTCAGAAAAATCTTCAAATTCTCAAAGGAACCGCTAACCTTAAAAAAAAACAAAAAACTGAAGCGTCTCCTCTCCTAACTCCAGCATGCAGAGAAAACGCCTCCCTGTTAGAATCATGCAACCGCTAACGGCAGAGACCGGTCCCAGGCCCCGAGGCGCCGCGGCCTCCAGCCCCGCCCCAGCCGCGGCCCAGAGGGGGCGCTCGGGGCGTGGGGGCGCGAACCCCTAATCTGTGCCTCCTATTTGAGGGGATACAAGCCGGGCGCATCTTTTCGCGGGGAGACCTCCACACAGAATACATTCCTGCCGGGGAGACCCCAAGCCAGAGCTGTCACGGAGGGCGCGGGTGGCGGGGGGCCAGGCCCCGCGGGCTGATCCCGGGGAGCCCCGCCGGGTCGCGCCCCATCAGACCGATTTTCCCATCAACAGAGGGCGCCAAACCACGCCCTCAAAGCCGCGCGCCGGGGGCGTGGCCCGTGGGGGCGTGGTTTGAACGGCCACGCCCCGTTCCGGCCCTCGGGTCGAGCGTGACGTCCATCGACGCCAGGAAGCCGCCGTGAGGTCATCGCCCTCCGCCTCGGGGCGCCCGGCCCTCACGTCAGGGGCGTGGCCCGCGGCCACGCTCTGGCCTCCCGGCGCCCCGCCCCCCCGCGCTCCTCGCGGCCGTCGGGCGCGTCACGTGACGGGTCGGCGGCGCTGGCGGTTGCTGTCAGCTGATTCCCCGGGTCAGTGGCGGCGGCGGCCGTGGCGATGGACTTTCTCCTGGGGAACCCGTTCAGTTCTCCGGTGGGACAGCGCATCGGTGAGTCTCGGGAGCCCCGCACAGCCGCGCCGCGGAGCTGCGCGCCCGGCTCCGGCCCCTGGGGGCGCCGCAGGTCCCCAGTCACACGCCCGAGGGAGGCGGGGAGGGAGCGGAGCTGGCGTGTCCCCCACCCCCGGCCTGGCCCCGCCCCGTGTCCCGCCCACCTTGACTGACAAGAGCCGCGACCGCTGAGGAGGCCTCAGCTTGTGATGGATGCTTACGGCCGCCAATAGGCACGGAGGAAGGGCGGGCCAGCGGCTCAGCCTCAGTGCGGGTGCCGGGGTCGTGAGTCCAGGGACGAAGTTTCGGAGGTTCAAGGGGCTGCGTGTTTTGGGGTCCCTGCGCCCCCCCACGCGCTTTCCCGGCCGGAGTCGCGCCGGCTGCGTGCTTGTGACCGCCCTTCTGGTCGCCGGGCTCTCCGGACGGGGATCCTCCAAGGGGCCAGAGGTCCATTCTCCCGGGGCCCTGGGACCCGGGCTCGGGGTGCGCGCGGGATGCGCGCGGGGTGCGGCGGAACCGCGGCTCCAGGCGGCCCAGGTCCCGGGACGAGCTTGCTTGGGTTGCTCTCACCAGCCACCCTCAGCTCGACCGCAGAGAGGGCGGATCCTTGAGCTGGACGTGAGCTGAGAATCCACCTGACTCGGCCTCCCTTGCTCTGGCAGATGGAGCAGCCGGCCGCGCGGCCCGGCTCCCGGCTCGGGTGACCCCCGCGCGGAGACGCCCTTACTAATTCTCTGACGAGGTTGCCTCACCTGTAATTAGGGATTAGTAGTCCCTGCCTCTTTGGGATTGCTGTGTATAAAGTACTTACAACAGTGGCCGGCGGGTCACCAGTGCGGTGCAAGAGAGAAAGCGGTGCTGTGTGTGATCGTTGTTGCTGAGGTGCCACAAAGCCGACGGGGGGAATGCCTGGAAATGGCTGGGTCTGGTAGGGGCTCACTCTGCGCACCAACCCGGTCCACCCACAGATCATGGCCCAAGCAGCACACAGGTGTCAAGGGACAATCTGGGTGCACCCCTTCTAGCCTGGAGAAACCACAGGCGGTGCTATGGAACTCTTCCCTCTTTTTGATGGTTTTTAACCTTAAATCCGGAATGGAGAACGTGGATCTTTAAGACAAAATATTCTTTCCATTCTTACTGTCTCAGTAGCCAAACTTCACTGAAGTCCCTCCACCCGACTCTGTTGTAATCGTCAACATGGCTGTTTGTGGCTCTTCTGAGGTTTTGTAATCAGATATCTCCAAGAGGCAGGTGGCAGCACAGGACTTACACACCAGGAAGCTGCTCTCTCAGGACCCTGGCCTCTTGAACCTCTCCCATCCCCATCATAACACACACACACACACACGCACACACACACACACACCCTACACACACACACCCCTACACACACACACTCCACCCCACCCCCAGTGAGTCATTGTTTTAGAGCCAAAGGAGAAGCCAGCTCTCCTATTTCTTTTTTTTTTTCTCTATTTCTCCAACTGCAGATACCACTGCTTTTATCACATGCCAAGTTTGAGACTTCCTACTTAAAAAAAAAAAAAAAATCTGACCTTCAAAATCAAATACTATTCCTGATGCTTTCTTGAAAATGTCACCTGGGCTCTGGACTTTGGCTGATCAAGGAAAATTTAGTTTCTCCTCCTACCCTGAAGGGTTGCAGCTCCTGAGCAAGAAATACTTTGTCCAGAGCAAATGCTACTAAATCAAAATACCTTAAAACTCAAACCAAATTTTACTGTTGGAAGAGTCTTTTCCTTGGGGATTTTCTAACTCAGGGTCCTCTTCAGAATCCCCTGGAGGACTTGTTAAAGCCCAAAAGGTAGGGCCCCACCCGCACATCTCTAGCTCTGTGAGTCTGGAGTGGGTCCAATGATGTGTATTCTAACAAGGTCCCAGGTGATGCTAATGCCTCTGGATTGGGAACCACACATTGAAAACTTCTGTTCTAGTTTGTTCCCTTCGAGTTACATAGGAGTAGACAAATACAGAGAGGGGTGGTAGTCTGTAATTCCCCACAACCTGTGACATGAGCTCCCCAGAGCCATTGAAGTTTGAACCAAAGCTGAAAGATTCTAAAGGCAGAATTAAATGGAGACTAGCTACCAATTGTTAATGTCCTCAGTTTTCCATATTCTTTCAGATAAAGAAGTGGAAGTACTGCCAATGGGCTGTGACTATTGATGACCGAGATTAGCTGCTTGTATTTCTGTAAGCCTGCCCACTCTTTTACTGCAGGAGTAAAATGATTTAAAGTCTACTGCCACCATCCTCTTATTGAGAGTAGAGCCCTGAGAATTGGCCTCCCTGTGCGCAGTGGCTTCTTCTGGTGCTTGTCCTCCTGCACACACCTTTGTGCTTGCTGCCCCCTCGGCCTGAAGTGCCTGCTCCTATGTGCATCCTTCAAAGCCCCAGTGATTATCACCTCCTCTGTGAGGCCTTCCCTGACCTCCTCAGAGCCAATCATTGCTCCTCTTCTCTCCTGTCACCATAGCTCCCCTACCTTTGGACTGGGGATTATAACAGCCTCCACCTGCTAGGTGAGCATGAAGCGAGATGCTCCCCCAGAGAGTACCTGGCACATTGTCAAAGGGCGGGAAACATTAGCTCGTTTTATTATTTCCACGGTCACTAGTCCACTAAAAAGCACTGTCGTGTTCTGCTAGCAGCTGTGTGTGTGTCCACAGCTAGACTGCACTTCCTGAGTACATGGACCCACAGCAACTAGTTTGGTACTTGGCACGTAGGAAGAGGGAAGCAAGGAGAACAGGAAGGTCACATTCTTTAACCAAATACCATGTGCAGATGCCATGCTAGTATCCTAGGTGTTAATGTGCACCATGACCCTACAGGTTTTACTGTTTTCCCCCATTTTACAGAAAATAAGTCTGAAGGCAGGTATCGCTTCCCGGGGTCTTGCAACTCTGAGGGGGCAGAGTCCAGACCCAGGTTGCTCAGCTGCAGGTCCTCTCTAATCCCTCCCCTCCCTGCCTCTGGCTGATCAGTGCTTGTTGGGATAAACTTTAGTGCAGCCCTCCAAGATCCAGTCATCGTTCTAGATTTTTCAAAGATTGTCTGTCCTGATTAGGATGCACTCGGACTGGTGTGTGTCTCCAGGTGCTCTGATCTGGAGCTGCCCAAGGGTAGCAGCCTGTGGCTAAAAGGATCCCAGATAATTAGGAGGAGGTGATGTTGACACAGTCCACCTCTCCAGGGATTTCAAAACCCTTTCCAGGTATTCTCTGAGGACAGAGCTGACTGACCCTGACAGATGTCAGAAGGCAGCCCATTTTCCATTCTGAGTCAGAGGCTGACTCATGAAAGTAAGCTGCAAGCAAGACACTGTACTGGGGACCAGACCCCCGAAGTCAGGGTGTGGTGCTAGCCAGATGTAACAGGAAGAGTGATGACCCTGATGGGGGTAGACAGGAGAGGGGTGAAGTCAGGATCCAGTGAGAGACCACAGGTGCTAGTGGGGAGGGAACCCCTCAGGTCTGGTGGGGTGCTATTGTGGGAGGGATGAGCTATAAACCCAGCAGGACACATTGTGATGTCATCGAGGGGATGCTGGGCTTGCAGGCAGGAGACCTGGCTGGGTTCAGCTCCTTGCTCTGTCACTTCCCTCCCCAGTGCCCACCCCCTTCTTGCCCCTCCCCATCTCCCTCAGGACTGATGCGGACAGGAAAGGATTGCTACCAGAAGCAGGAGGGAAACTCCTGGCCTCATGATAGAACTGATCCCATGGGCCCAGAGGGCCGAGTGCAAGGTTACAGGAGAAGAAGCAAGGCGCCAGCATAGAGGACCATCCCCGCCCTTTCAGAGATGGCGTGGTCCTGGCCACTTCCCCCGCCCCACTGGAAGGGGAAGGCCAGAGGGGAGGGAGGTCAGCACAAGGTCCTGCACTGGCTGGCAGGGCGACCTAGAGCAGGATCTGCAAATTTTCCCCCCCACCTTTTTTCTTTTTTAAAGATTTATTTATTTATTTATACAAGCACTGGGTACAGTCAGAAGCACGGGAGTGTGAGAGAATTCACCAGAGCCAGAGCGGGAACAGAACAGGCAGACTGACGTAGTACACTGCTGAGGGGAGCAGCGGGCATGGCAGGAGAGGTCTGCCCGCCATGTGAGACCCTCGCCGCCGCCGGGAATCAAACTGGCCCTGCAGAGGCTGCAGGCAGCTTCGCAGCCCAGCGCTTAATTTTTCATAGAAGAACTGGGGTAAAGGCCAGAGGTGCAGGGGCTAAGAAGACCCACCAGAGACGAAGTGGGGAACAGAACAGGCAGACCTACTGAAATCCACTGCTGAGGGGAGCAGCGGGCAATACAGGAGAGGTCTGCAGCGCCATTTGGGCCAGCTCCCTGGCTGGGGATCGAACTTAGGCTGCAGCCGTGGTAGTGCTGAGACTTAACCCCTAGGCCACCAGGGAGACCCAGGATCTGTGAACTTTTGCTGGAAAGGGCTCGATAGTAAACTGTGGTAGCTCTGTGGGCCGGGTAGGTGTTCACTGTCCTTGCAGGAAAGCAGCCAGAGACCAACAGGCCCGTGAATGGGCAGTGTATTCCCATCAGACCTCACAATTCCAGTGCTGACATTGGAATTTCATGTAGTTTTCACATCATGAAATGCTCTTCCTCTTTGGATTTTTTTTCAACCATTTAAAAATGTGAAAACCAGTCTTAGCTCATGAGCCATACAAAAGCCACTGAACTTGGCCTTGGGCTCAGAGTTTGCAGACCTCTGGGTTAAACCAACTGGTCCTCCAGAATGACAGAGGACAGTGTTCTTTGGAGTGGGGTCCCAAGCACCTACATGAGATGCTTGCGGGTGTGCCCCACCCCCCAATCCAAGTCCGAATTTCACGTGAGCCCACACACGTGAAGCTCCCCAGTCCACTCATCTGTGTTTGGGGATAACAAGAAATAATGTCATCTGGCAGCCGGCTACAGAGTCAGGCCCAGGGTGAGCCCCAGAGCCAGACCAGAGGCCTGAGTCC